GAGTTGCTAGAGCAGTGGCACAGACCGCGCAAGGGCGACTGGCAGAGTGATGACAAAAGCAAGAAGCACGCCACCCGTGCCAGCAAGAGCGAAACCATGCAGAGTGGCGGCGGTGTTGATGTTGATGATGACGATGGTGATGTGAGCGAGGGCGGTGACACAGCGGGTAGCTTTGGTGGCGATGGCGTCGGTGCTGGTGCTCATGAACACGACGCTGACGACGATGCCGTGTATGGGGAGGACGAGGACCCGGACATGTTTAAGCAGCGCAAGGGCGGAGATGAGAAGATGAAGCGGAAGAAGAAGAAGGAGCGACAACAGCAGCGCGCACGCGAGCGGCTGCCAGAGGAGGCAGTGAACAACCCGGAGATTTTTGACGATGCTGCGCCAACGTATGATGAGGAACACAACTGCGATGGTGATGGCGGTGGTGGCGGTGGTGATCGCGATGATGATGACGGTGATGTTGGCCGTGGTAGTGCTGCTGGAGGCGTTGGTGGTGACCGAAAGGGTGGGAAGAAGCGTGGTGGAAGCAAGAGCGGTGATAAGGACAAAACGACGAGTGGCAGGAGTGCTGGTGGAGAGAAGTTGCAACTGGGCGGGATGGTGCGACGCGAAGGTGTTGACTACGGCGATATCGATGCAGAGTTTGAAGACGACTTTGCTGACGATGATGACAGTGCACCCCGGCGCGGGTTCCAGTGGGATCAGATCAAGGGCATGCTCGCCGGCGACAGCGACGAGTGCGTAGTGTGTGTGTGGGGGGGGGTAGGTTGTGTGCGTGGAGATGTGTGTGTGTGTGTGTGTGTACAAGTGCCTTTTACTCACGTCATCCGCCACCATGCATCGACAACTACCAGAGAGGACGCGGCAGAGATGCAGCGCGACCTGATGGAGCTGCTCGGAGGTCAAGTGAGTCACACTCACACATGCACATGCACACACACATACACACACACACACACCCTCACTCAGTCCTTCACACCCTCACTCAGTCCTTCACACCCTCACTCACTCTCTCCCTCTCTCACACACCACGCCACACACACGCCACACCCACGCCACCAACCACGCCACCAACCACCCATCAGGATGGCAGCGAGAAAGGCGGGAAGGGCGAGCCGAGCAAGAGCAAGAAGAAGAAGAAGAGGAACCGCCTTGGGCAGCGGGCGCGGCAGCGGCTGGCGGAGGAGCGATTTGGCAAGGAGGCACGACACGTGCAGGACCCGAAGCTCGACGCAAACCTCAAGCAGCGCATGAAGAAGGTGCGCTGGCAGGATGCAGTCGAATGGGCTGTCGTAATGGTGGCCGTAGGGAGGGGTGTAATCGTATGGGGAGGGGTGTATCGTATGGGGAGGGGTGTATCGTATGGGGAGGGGTGATGGTGCCATTGTGTGTCGTCTTGCCTCTTTGTTTGATGTCAGCGCACACACATGCACACACGCACACATGCACGCACACATGCACGCACACATACACGCACACACACACGTGCACACACATGCCCAAACACACACACACATGCCCAAACACACACACACACACACACACACACACACACACACACACACACACACACACACACACACACACACACACACACACACACACACACACACACAGGCGCGTGAGGAGAAGCGGCTGCGCATTGAGAAGCGAAAGGCGCGAGAGGGCGATGGCAGACCGGCACGGCGCCCCCATGGTTACGGCGATGATGATGGCGATGGCTATGGGCACATGCAGCGGCAGAGACCGGCCAAGCGAGCAAAGGAAGGGAAGGCAGCAGGCAAGGCAGCAGGCAAGGCAGCAGGGAAGGCAGCAGGGAAGCAGGATGGAGAGGAGGAGGGTACACACATGCACCCGTCGTGGTTGGCGAAGCAACAGCAGCACAACCAGGCCAAGGTGGTGCAATTCCAGGGATCACACGTCACCTTCTCAGACAGCGATGACGAGTGATCAAAGACATATGTGTGTGTGTGTGTGTGTGTGTTGTGTGTGTGTGTGTGTGGGGGGGGGGGAGCGCGTGTTGCTTCGCCTTGTTTAATTTTTTTTTTCGCTGGTTGAGCAATCACACGCCGTTTCATACCAGCGACAAGCCACAGTTAGCAACAATACATCAATCACAGCACATCTGGGAGAAAAGCAGAAGGGCCAAGGGTTGGAGTTGGCGGGTATGCACGGGGAGCGGCGCACAGGTGGACGAGATACAAAGAGAGGGGCGGTGGGCAGAGAGGGGCACAGACAGACAGACACACACACACACACACAGGTGCACACAGGCACACACACACACACATACACAGGTATACACACACACATACACACACACACACGCACACACACACACACGTCTCCGTGCACGAATCGAATTAAGTCGTCATACAAATGCACCAAATCACGAGCACGTGTCTCTAACTACTCTGCGGCTTCTGCTGCTTCTGTTGGAACTGCTGCTGCGCTGTCTCCAAGATGGACTTCTTGCCGCCAGTGCGCTCAAAGAAAGGCCGAAGCGGCGGCAAGCTGTTGTCCACATACTCAATGTACGCCATGGGCGCTTTGTCCCCTTGCCTGAAGCCTGCCTTGAGCACGCGCGTGTACCCTCCTGGCCTCTCCTCAAATCGAGGCAGCAGCTCGTTGTACACCTTGGGCATCAGTTCCCGCTCCTGCACCAAAGGGGGGAGAGGCGGGGAGAAGAGTTGACCCACGCCAATCATGAGGGTGCATGCAAGGAACTAAAGGTTGGTTCTGGCAACAAGAGGCAGTCGTTCCTTTTCCAACCACCCCACGTGCCAACTATCCCCCATATCAACCATTTCACACATCACGCGCCACCATCCATATGCACACAAGATGTGCAGCGCTCCTTCGCTGTCAAACCAGCGGACCCCCACTGTCTCGTTCTTTGACTCCCGTTCACAGCCATGCGCATCCACATACCGGGAGCCAGGCCTCCATTTGGTTGTGTGCAGCAGGGGTGCCTCGCTTGGCCCATGTGATGAGCTGCAAATTGGTGTCAGTGAAATAGTACGGGTGAGGGGTGTGGGATAAGGGAGCAACGAAGAACAAGTGGCAGCCTCAACGTTGTTGAACCGACAAACACACGACGCAGCAGCGTGCATACAGCACACAGACAAACAAACAAACAGACAGACAAACAGACAGACAGACAGACACACACACAGACACACACACACACACCGCACACTGCACACACACAACGCACGCACACAACGCACGCACACTGCACACATACCGCACACACACACACGCACTCGCTCTGCTGGTCGTCGCAGTTCCTTTGCCTTTGCCAGAGTTGTGCGAATCCGTTCATGCTTGACAAGCGCAGCGGTGAGGTTACGCAGCAGCGCGCGGCGGTGCTCGCTGTCTCGCCCAAGCTTCCTGAACGCAACACGGTGCCTCATCCCTGCCTCTATGCGTCACAGACAACAAACAACAACGACCCACAGCAAACAGCACACAGCAAACAACAACACTGCCTTCAGTGTAAGCAAGTCAACCACTCAAAGGTCCAGAAGCACGTTGGCTTTGCCTCCTCCTGCTTCACTTCTTGTCTGCACGGACCACGATACGGAAAATTATTGGGCATTATTCGCCAATCGTCGGACCCAAATCTGGCTCGCAGCAACAACAGCAACAGCATCATGGGCGTGGATGGCAGAGGCGGCGGTGGTGGCAGTGGCAGTGGTGGAGGCAACGGGTGGCGTTTGTGGTGGAAGGTGTTTGCGGGCTTGCTGGCCGTGGCGGTGGTTGTGTATGTGATGCGGGCGGATACGTTCTTGGCATCAGAGCAGCCGCAGCACCTGCCGATCCCCGTCTTGCGGCGGGCGCTTGGAACAGGGCTTGGTTCTCAGGGCAAGCTGAGCGCGCCGGCGTCGCGTGGCTTTGACGTGTGCCAAGACGGCACAAACTGGTTCAGCCGGTACAGCGAGGAAGACGTCGACACGAACAGCTTGAGGGAGTCCAGGAACCACCGCATCTGCGCTGGCTCCCGGCCAATGTTCACCATCTCACACCCAAAGAGCGGGCGCACGTGGCTGCGCTGCCTGGTGGCCAACGCCTACGCATGCGCGCGCAAGAACGCCTCCCTGTCGCTGAGCGAGACAGAGGCCTGGTCCGACAAGGTGCTGTCCTTCTCCCACGGCAAGCCGCACCCCTTTGGTTCCACCCCGCAGCAGCTTTTGAACGGCTTTGGAACGAACAACGGCGCCAAGCGGGAGGCGGGGTTCATGCTGGTACGTGATCCCCGCGACGTCGTCGTCAGCTCCTTCTACGACCGCATGTACCGCGACTGGGAGCACTCGCTGCCAAAGCACACGTCCCTCTCCGAGTATCTCCGCATCGAGCGCGGCAGCCTGCAGACCTTGCTCATGCACCAGAACCTCTGGTCGTCGGTGACAGACAAGCCCGACTGGCTGGTGCTGCGGTATGAGGACCTGAAGCGCTGCCCGGAGAAGGCGCTGGACGAGCTGCTGAACAAACAGCTGTGCCTGGACGTGTCGCCGGCGTGCATCGCGCGTGCCGCGGACTGGTGCGACTTTAGCAAGCTGCAGCAGCGCGCAGACTCTGCAAGCCACTATGGCGGGGGCAAGATCTGGCGCCCAAAGGGCCACGATCCAAACTCCAGGAAGGTGCGCAAGGGCAAGGTTGGCGGGTATCGGGAGGAGCTGTCAGCGGAGGATATGGAGTATCTCGAGAGCTCCATCCAAGAGCATCTGCTTGGCGGCCGCGTCTTTGGCTACAACGCTCCCCCTCCCAAGAAGAACTAGGACCAAGCAGCGGTGCATGAGTCGTTGTGTGTGTGTGTGTGTGTGTGTGTGTGTGCGAGAGAGAATGTGTGTGTGTGTGTGTGTGAATGTGTGTGTGTGTTGTGTCTGTGTGTCTGTGTGTCTGTGTCTGTGTCTGTGTCTGTGTGGTGCTCCTTCTTGGGGGTGGCTATTTGTTTGCTTCGTTGTGAAAGTGTCCAAAGAAAGAAGAAAGAACAACCAACAACAAGCTCATCGTGTTTGGGAGAGAGGAAGAAGCAACCAACACACTTCATATCTGACGTCGCAGCACGCAACAAACAAGCAAGCAAGATGGCAGCTCGTTCAGTGACACTGCACGATGGCAGTGAGCACCCGATGCTCGGGTTTGGCACGTACAAGGTCGGCTTTGTCCCGGCCAGCGCTTCCTCCGCTGTGCAGCCCAAGGACGACCGTGATCCAAAGGAGATTATCAAGGTCTGTGTGTGTGTGTGTGTGTGTGTGTGTGTGTGTCTGTGTTGTGTTGTGTTGTGTTGTGTGTGTGTGTGTGTGTGTGTGTGTGTGTGTGTGTGTGTGTGTGTGTGTGTGTGTGTGCCTTTGTGTTGTGTCATCGACCCACCTCTTTGCCATTGCTTGCGTGCTTGCGTGCTTCTCTCTCCCTCCCTTCCCTCGTCCCTCCCTCCTCTCCTCCCTCTTACCCCTAACCCTGACCCTAACAAGCTGTCGCTGTCTGCATGTCATGCCAGGATGCCGTTGCTGTCGGCTACCGCTACTTCGACTGCGCCCAGTTCTATGGCAACGAGGCCATGGTTGGCCAGGCGCTCAAGGACAGTGGCGTGGACCGCAAAGAACTCTACCTGGTCCGCGCGAGCCTGTGTGTCTGTTGAGTGTGTGTGTGTGCGTGTGTGTGTGTGTGTGTGTGTGTGTGTGTGTGTGTGTGTGTGTGTGCGTGTGTGTGTGTGTCTGTGTGTGTGTCTGTGTGTCTGTGTGTGTGTGTGTCTGTGTGTGTGTGTGTGTGTCTGTCTGTCTGTCTGTCTGTCTGTCTGTCTGCCTGTCTGTCTGTGTTTGTGTGCCTGCCCTACTCTGCCCCGCCAAGTCATTCTGCCTTTCCATGAACAACTTGCTTGCCTTCTCACTTCCCCCCACTTCCCCGTCACAATATCAGGTGTCCAAGGTGTGGTGTGACACCATCTACAAAGGCCCAGAGGCCGTGAAGGCGCAGGTGCACAAATGCCTTGCAGACCTGCAGACGGACTACCTCGACCTGTATCTGGTCCACTGGCCTGTTCCCGGCAAGCATGTCCAGGTAGGTTTGCGTGTGTCTGTGTGTCTGTGTGTACGTGCGTGTCTGTGTGTGTGTGTGTGTGTGTGTGCGTGCGTGTCTGTGTGTGCGTGCGTGTCTGTGTGTCTGTGTGTGTGTGTGTGTGCGTGCGTGTCTGTGTGTTTGTGTGTAATGTGCAGACGGATGTCGCTGATAGTGCAGCCACATTGGCTGCTGTGTTGTCTCTTGTGCCCCCAACAAACGCGTTGACAGGCATACAAGGCACTGGAGGAGCTTCATAAGGAGGGCAAGATCAAGGGCATTGGCGTGAGCAACTACACCATCGAGGACTACAACGAGCTCAAAGCTGAGATGACAATCAAGGTGCTTGAGAGAGAGAGACTGAGAGAGAGACTGAGAGAGAGAGGGAGACAACAAGAGAGAGAGAGAGAGAGAGAGACACACACACACACACACACACACACACACACACACAGAGAGACACAGAGAGAGAGAGGGAGAGCAGTGCACGTCAAGATAAAGTGTCTTCTTCTTGGTTGTGACATGCGTGTGTTGCAAGCATCACTTGAACTTTGAGCTTGCCTGATCTCTTATTTACACCCGCCACTCCTTTCCCTTGTTTCATCCACCATCTTGCGCTCACCACCACCACCACCACCACCACACCCTTTTCACACTCGCCGTCCGTCAGCCGCTGGTGAACCAGATTGAGGTCAACCCCTTTCTCTATCGCCGCCGTACCATCCAGTTCTTCCAAGATGAGGGCATCCAAATCGAGGTACGCAGACACGCGTGTGCTTTGTGTGTGTGTGTGTGTGTGTGTGCTTTGTGTGTGTGTGTGTGTGTGTGTGTGTGTGTGTGTGTGTGTGTGTGTGTGTGTGTGTGTGTGTGTGTGTGTGTGTGTGTGTGTGTGTGGCAGTGTTTGCGCACCTCTGTGCGGCTGCTGCTGCACTCCGCGTCGCCTTCCTCAAATCCCCCTCCCTCTATTGTCCGACGACACGTGCAGGCGTATCGTGCGCTGCGCAACGGCAAGGAGATGGACAACGAGCGCATCAAGAGCATTGCAGAGAAGCACAAGTGCACCCCGGCACAGGTTGGTGCTGGTGGTGATGTGGCACGTGTGCCAACACCACCACTGCTGCTGTGCACCAGCAGAGACACTGCTACATGGGGTTGTTCTCTGTCGGCAACGCAACCATGTCAATCCTTTCTTGGTTCATGGTCATGACGATGGCACATATTCCCCATCAACATCATCGTCCAACAGGTGCTGACTGCCTGGTGCTTGCAGCACAACATCATCGTCATTGCAAAGTCGTCCAAGAAAGGTGAGAACGCCGAAGAGACGGCAGCTTTGTTTTGTGAGTGTGTGTGTGTGTGTGTGTGTGTGTGTGTGTGTGTGTGTGTGTGTGTGTGTGTGTGTGTGTGTGTGTGTGTGTGTGTAGAGAGAGAGAG